TTTAAGTAGTAGAGGCATCTTCACGTGGTTGTCTTCCTATTCATGAGCTTGGTATAGTTTGGTTAGTCACTTTGCTGAAATCTTTCAGTTTCAGTAATTCTCTTGCTGAGACTTTCTGTGTATAGAATCATATCATTTACAAATAGAGAAGGCTTTACTTCTTCTACCCCCATTTGGAAGATTTTCATTTTCCTTTCTTGCCTTATGACTGGCTAGGAAGGACCACCAGCATAATATTGAGTAGGAATGGTGATACAGAATATCGTTGTCTCAAAGAGAACCTCACCGTTCGCATTTTTATCAGGATTGTGTGTTGGATTTTGTCATATGCCTTTTTTTGCATCAGTTGATTTGATCATATTCTTTTCCTTTATGTAATGGATTACATTGGTTTTTTTGTGTGTGGTTTTTGTTTGTTTACTGGCTAGGATTTTGTTGAGAATTTAAAAACCTATATTCATGAGGGATTTTTGCTGACTCTTAGTCTGGTTTGGGTATCAAGGTTATGCTTATGTCATAAATTGAATTCAGGTACATTCTACTCTTTTCTATATAGTATGAAATAAAGTAGACTTGGTGTCAGCTCTTCCCTCGTTGTGCTTGGTAGATTTTGCCTATGAAGCCATCTGAGCCTGGACTTTTTTCTATTAGGAGTTTAATGGCATGATCAATTTCATCTTTTGTAATGAGTCTGCTCAAATTTTCTACCTCATTATATTTGTTTAGTTAAGTAATAGTGTTTTTAGAAATTTGTCCATTTATAATTGCTGATGATTGGAATGCGGAAGTTGAAAACAAAAGTATCAATAGTTGGAAAATAGGGCCTTCATGGTAGAAATGACACTGGAGATTACGTGATAGAATTTTTTAAGACAAATGACTTATTCATTATAAATACCTTTTTTCAACAACATACACTTGGAATCAAAAGATGGTAGAAATATGTAGAGTGACTGTACCAAAAAAAGCTGGATTGTATGAAGAAAACTGGAATCAGCCTGCAATATGCAGATGAACAACCTTGCTTGCTTAAAGCAAAGAGGACTAGACATACTTAATGTTAAAGATGAAAGACTACAGCCTTCAGTATGGATTTCACCTCAGTGTAAAGAAAACAAAAATCCTTACAATTGGACCAGTAAATAGTATCATGATAAACAGAAGATTGAAGTTATCAAAGACTTCATTTTGCTTGACTCCACAATTAGCACTCCTGGAAACGGCAGTCAAGAAATCAGCAGTTGTATTGCATTAAGCACATCTGCTGCAAAAGAATTCTTTCAAATGTTGAAGAACAGAGATGTCAGAGGATTAATGTGCATATGAACGGGTGAAAGTTGGGCAGTGAATAAGGAAGACTGTAAAAGAATTGATACATTTGAATTATGGTATTGGAGAAGAATATTGAAAGTATCATGAACTGCCAGAAGGAAAAAAAAAAACATCTGTTATGAAAAAAGTGTGGCCACAATGCCTGTAAAAAGTAAGGATGGCAAGACTTCATCTCTTGTACTTTGGACATGCTGTTTGGAGGGACAAGTCTATGAAGAATGACATGATGCTTGGAAAATTGGCAGGCCAGTGAAAAAGAGAAAGACCCCCAGTGATAGCATCGATGGGTTCAAAACAAAACACGACAGCAACTGTATGGATGGGGCTGGAATGGGCATTGACGCTCATCGTCTCCATTTTGCTGTTTTGGTTTTTCGAGTGTGTGTGTGATGTTGCTAGTTTCACACAGCTTGTGCTGAGTTCATTTTGTTTGGGGATTTTCTTGTTGTTTTCTTCATTGCTGAAGACTTATAATTTTTTATTTGATACAAATGTTAATAACTTTTCTTGGTTACATTTATAAATTTCTTTCCTACTGTAAAACAGTTTTATCCTGAAATATACTTGACTTTCTTGTCATTTTAGAAGTTCTGTAACTGCAGTCTATTTTCTCATTTTGCCTGGTAGTTGTCTTCATTATAAATTGATGTTTCTGGTTTCTTACTTTCTGCCTTGTAGGTTTAGTTTGCATACTTGTATATCTGGCCTGGGAGCTATTATCATGTAGTTTTTGGTTCTCTGTTCAAAGAACTCCCTTTAATATTTTTCTAAAGTTACTCTGATTGGCAAGTTTTTTCTTTCACAGTTTTACATATGGCATTCCTTGCCTTCTTGCTTGCATGGTTTCTGTTGAGAAATCGAAGCTTAGTCTTAGTAGATCTCTTTTGTAGATAACTTTTCAGTTTTTCCAGGCTGTTCTTAAGATTCTGTCCTTGTCTTTGATTTTGGAAAGTTTGATTATGATGTATCTTGGCGATTCAGTTTGGGGTTCATTTAGCATCCTGAATGCTTTTGTTTGTTTGTTTTTGTCTGTTACTCAAATTCAGCAGATCATCTGCAGGTTATTCCTATTGATACTATTCCAAATAAATCTTTAAGACTTATTTCAGATTTTTTGCTGTTTTCTGATTGTTCTTGTACCACACTAGTATTGAGAAACTTGTCTTCAAGCTCGACCTGCCATTGCTTAGTATTTATCTTATGGATTTACTATTTACATATTTTGTATAATTTTTCATTTATTTTTTGCATTTGTTCATCTACTGTTTTCCTGAATTCTTTTAAAGGTTTTTCTGGGTTCTCCTTGCTTTCATCTGCAGCTTGCTTCATGTTTCTCTCAGTCCTGTGAAGGTACCTAAATATCACTCTATGGATTTTCTTCATCAGGTAGTTCCAATCCCTTTTATCCCTCAGTAACACTTTCTGGCTCTGCATCTTTGAGACACTATGGTGCCATTGTATTTGCATTAGTTTATTACTGTATCTTGGTGTGGTCCTAGGCACTCACCACCTGCTTTCCTGGTGGTAGGTGTTATTTAAGAATGTCGTTTATGGTGGGTTTGACTGTTGTCTTTCATTTATCAGGGATATAAGATTTGGTTCTTGCCTAGTGCCCGGTGCTGTTGTGGCTGAACTGTATGGGGTACTGTTGGGTGAGGTATAAAGAGAAACACACAGGAGAAAAGAAACAACAACAGTGAAAAAAAGAGTAAGGATAATAAAACCAGGGAAGAGAAAATGGAAACAAAACAAACAAACAAAAAAACCCAACAAAGTAAGAGATAAGGAAAGGAAAAACCTGGGCCTCAGTGATGCGAAAACTCGGGGGAACCTCCTGCCAGCCAAGGAGCTCACAAGGATGATGAGAGGGTGGGTGGTATACCAGATCCTACCTGGGGTTGCTTGTTGTTATTATGTGCCGTGGAGTCGGTTCCCACTCATAGGGTTTTGGAGGCTGTAAATCTGTATGGGAGCAGAAAGCCTCATCTTTCTCCTGTGGAGCAGCTGCTAGTTTCGAACTGATGACCTTGTGATTCACAGCCCGATTCGTAACCACTACACTACCAGAGCTCCTTTGCTGTAGGCCTACGTGTTATTTATGTTTAGGGCACCCAATCCAGAAGTAGTTCATGCAGGCCCAAAGGAACTCTTTCAGGCCCAGAGGGTAAAGGGTATTAGGGTGGGTGGTTATGAGCTATCCTGCTAGTCTGTGACTGACTCTGTGCATTCTGCAGATCTCAGGAAGTAGAGTTCACACCTGACTTCAGGTAGTGTTGCCACCACCCTACTCACAATAACCTGGATCACATCCCTACTCACAATAACCTGGCTCACAAAGATTAGAGCAAGGCATCTGCATCATCAGGCAGATGACGCAAAAGTTCAAGATGGCTGTAGCTCCTCAGGCCAACCACAGTCCACCCGTCTGTCTCCTTCCTTGTTGCCCCCTGTTCAGCTGCTGCTTCTAGTCAATATTCAGTCCATTTCTCTTTCCTTTCCTCTGAAATTCAGGGTTCCAGGATTATTAACATCTGTGTGTTTCATTTGGTATCTTGTTTCTTTGTTGTAGAACCTGTGTAAACATGTCTGCCTAGTCCACCACCTTGACTGACAAAGTATTTTTGAATAAAGCGCATAATTTGATAGTTCTTTTTTTGAGGTGTGATTCTAGTAAAATTTATGTAAGTTCCTTTTCCTGAGAAAGGAATTTATGTTTTAGACTTAGCATCAGATGAAAAGAAAATACGTTTATGTCTGGAATGCAACTTAACACTCTGGGTCAAAGGGATTCCCCTCAACCTTCTAAGTTACTATCAGTAAAGCTTGTTTAGTGCGGAATATAAAGTTTTCTCTGATCCTTGATGTAAAACAATTATAACTTTCATTTATAGCTACATTTCCTAAATAATTGTGTTGAAAAACTTCCAACTGAAGGCTTTCTATGGTAAACAGCTTTTCTAAATTTGTTGACTGATATGAGAAAAATTACCAACTGACAGTATTTGGGGGGTTGTTTGCTTTTGACCTAAAGTAAGCTTTAATGTCAAATGCTTCTCTGGCAAAATATTAGAGAAGAAAACATAAAAGCAGAATCCGCTCTTCTGTGTTCCTCATTCTGTATTCAAATATAATAGAAACAGTTCTCTAAGTTAACAGATAAGAGGTGGTCAGTTTTGTTATAAGTAATACTTGTTTTGGAATAGAAAAATATAATCTATTATTACTTATGAACTTAGTGTAGAGAAAAGATGATCTCAAATAAAAAGCTCTCTAAACGTAGTGACCCTGTACTTACAGTTTCAGTGTCATTTGAGTATCTTCCCCATGTAAAACAGGTATCTTCTACTTATTAGAAACTGAGGTATAGCTTTTAAATATTTCAGCTGTTGTGCGAGAATATAGCTTCATTGTATTTAGATTATTCTGTCTTAAAATTTGAAAACTTTGGACAGAGCTGGCTGATTTTTCTAAGGTGTTTGAGAAATTAAGCATTAAATTTTAAAGACTTTCAAAAGGTTCCACACACTGTTTCTTTTTATGTGTGGAATGTATGCATCGTATAGTACATGACTAAATTTTCCCTGCCTGCTACCTATTAATTGTATTAATAGATATTGAACTTTATAATCTAAACATTCACTCATGGTTTCCTTTGTTGCTGTTTGCAGGTTCATCGGCTGGTGGTAGTCAATGAAGCAGATAGTATTGTGGGTATTATTTCGCTGTCCGATATCCTCCAGGCCCTGATACTCACACCAGCAGGTATCAGTAGTGATTTCTGACCTCTCCTGGAAGTTTGTAGGACTAAAAATAGGGTGTAGGAGGTACAATGTTGTTGTTATTAAGTGCTATTTCAACTCATAGCGGGCCTGTATAGGGTTTTAGAGGCTGTAAATCTTTACAGAACTAGAGCCATCTTTCTCCCACCGAGCTGCTAGTGGGGTTGAACCACTGACCTTGCAGTTCCCCATCCTATCTTACAGAGCCACCACGCTCCTTAGGAGATACAATAGTGTGTAGCAAATATTTGTTTCCTACACATCTACGGAGTCCTGTTGTGGCACTGTGGGCTAATGCGCCACACTGCAAAGCTATTTAAACTGCAAGATCAGTGGTTCAAGCTCACCAGCTACTATTCGGAAACCCTATAAAGGGTCACTATGGGTTAGAACCGACTCGATGGCACTTCACACGACACATCTACTACATTTACTTTTATACATTAACGCTTTATGTGTGCTATTTTATATATTTTCTTTACTATTTCTGAAGCTTTAACGTTCTGTTTGTATGGGAAAAGTTTATCCAAAACTATTCTGAATACCTGACTTTTTATATTTATATTTATTAATGCATTCAAAAGCCCAGCAGTCCCTAAATGGTCAGGGCTTTATTGTCATTTCCTTTCAAAAGTTAGTACGTTGTTTTGCTTATTTTCGCACTGTTGTACTATTATTGTCGGTGCTGGCTCACAGTGACTCTCTGCAGGCGTTCCGAGAGCAACTGATGGGTGTGAACTGCCGCTCTTGAGTTGAGCAGTCGAGTTCTTAATACTGACTAGAGTCCTGGTGTGGCACTGTAGGATAAGCACTGGACTACAAGGTCAGTTTGAATCAAATTAGGGTCGCTGTGAATCGGAATCAACTCAACGGCACTTAACAACAACTGGAAAATCCTTTTAATGGTACCTATTAAAATCTTCATCAATCCATACAGACTTTTCCCCATTGACATTGTCTGGAGATTGCATTAACTATTCAACAGGGTTGATAGCTAAAATTTGCTCTTAGCATCTCAACCACTAAACTTGCAGAGAAGGAAGGAGAGAGCTTTATAAAAGAAGAGGTGGTGATATTAAGAGGCAAAACTTTGAAGGGTCTTAAAATTACCAGCCACCCCTCCTTACTTTCTTCCCATTCCTTCTACCCTCCCTGTGTCCCCATTCTGAGTTAAATACAGACAACTCATCTTTGCTTTTGGGTGGGCTTCAGCCATTCATAGTGAACCCATGGGCCACAGTCTCTATGGCTGTGACCTTTATGGAAGCGCTCACCAGGCCTTGCTGCCACAGAGCTGCTGGATGAATTTGAGCTACCAACCTTGAGGTCAGTAGTCAAATACAAACCATTTACATCACCTAGGGATCGCTCGATCTAGACCCAAGACAAGGATGTGAAAGTCAGTGAGATACACTGTGAACTCTTCAAAGTTAAAAATTATGTGTATGTATATTAGGGTATTGATTTTTCTTGAGTTCAGAAAGCATTCAAACACAGCTAAGACTAGTTTGTAATTTATCTTTAAGATACTGACCCAAATGTAATCCCTACCACTGTGAGAACAGATCTCACTCACTAATTTAAATACTAAGAATGATTCCAGCAGCGCCCTGATTTTTCAGTGTGGTCCTCAGACCAACACTATGAGGTCTAACTGGGGACGTTATGTATTAGAAATGTGACGTCTCGGGTCCTCTCTCATCTAGTGGATCAGAAACCATTGTAGTGGGATCTAGTGCAATCATTTTCAAGTTTCAGGTTAGAAAGAACTGAATCGTCTTTACAAAATACCATGATATAACTAAAATCATTCTTTGAAATACCCTAAAACTAGAAATAACCCTTATTTTTTCCAGCAAAAGAAAGGATTAAACTGTTAACAGATATGCCCACTCCTCACTTACCTATCTGGTCACTATGCAAAATCAGCATTATTTGAGAGTTGGGGGCTGACTCCCTCTTCCTGTCTGTTTGCTCACCCCCCACAGGTGCCTCCCTGACATGTTGCTTGATAAATGTAAGAGGTGGTAGTGGTCAGGTATTGCCCACCCCGAGCACCCTGTCTGCCCATTGACTCACATTTGGCTGCTGTCCTCAAGTGGCCCAGCCATCACTAGGGGACTCCCAGTATCCTTTGGGGTGGCTCTCAGAGGGTGTGGGGTCCAGACTGTTGGAGGCACCACTTAAGAATTTTTTCAAAAATCAGATATCAGATAATGAGATAGTCAATAAGCAAGGAGAAATTGTGAGCGACTCAAACAGACAAAACACTGAGCCGAGCGAGGAAACCAGACTAACACACGTTATAAACTTCCACCCCAGCAAAACTACACTACACCTCAGCTCAAAAGAGGAAAAAAGGCCACTTCTGTGGGCAAGCCATCCCCACGGGCACAGGATGTGGCACCTCAGAAAAACACCCTTTGCCTCTAGTAAGGCACACAATTTGGCCAGTGGGGTCAGGCTGGGTGTCAACTCCTATTGATCTCCTTTCCGAGATTCTACATATTGCCAACTCAGAGGAGTAAAGTCATTTATTCTTTTGATGCCTTGGTGTCTCAAACCATTTTAATGAAGATTTTTGAGTCTAAATTTCCATTCAGATTTGATTAATGCCTCTTCTATCCATGGTACTGCAGGGTAGAAATCTATTCCACAGTTGTGATTTCAAATGTACATGTATATATGTATATTTGTAGAGAGAGAGGGAGTGTGAGTGAAGGATGGTTGAATTAGCCTTCTTTATACTATATGGTATCTATTGTTTAATTTAGGAATATGTTCCTAATAATTGGATTGCAAGTTAGTATTTGGAGCAAAACTCATTTGGAACTCAGGGACCAGTTGCATTAAATTACCTATAATATACTTAAGCTGTCTGAATTTAGCCAACTACTTCCTCAGCTGCAGAGTGAGCCAGCCACCCTACTCGGGTCTCCTGCTGGAGTGTGGTGAGGATGACATGGCACATGATTGCGAGCCTATGGCATGGTCAATGAGAGGCAGGCACGTGTAACAAGTGCCACTATTCACACAAATGCAAGGAAGGCCCTGGTGTAGATACCCTTTTCTCTAGATTATGAGTAAAGTTTCTCATTGAGGATACTAAGCCAGTATAGTAATACTTTGTTTCAAAACATTTTCAGCAATTGTCAAACGTAGACTGTCCACGTGAGCTGAAATGTATACAAGGAGTAAGCTTTCTGTTGGTCAAAGCACAGTCTTTTAGCCCTTGATTCTAAACTATCTCAATGGTCTGGTATCTTCATGTCTGGTGAGGAAGTAGAAAAAAAATGTGTTGTGGTATGAAAATTATTAGCTTTCTCTACCAACCCATTGAAATATCTTTAAACATGTTATATTTTTTTTTCCCCCATATTTTTGTAAGTAACCAAAACACATGTACTTAGAACTCTTTTTTTTTTCCTAATTAGATGATGTATTTAGAACTCTGGAGTACCGTAGGAATTTAAAGTGTGCTGTTCTACTGAGGGGCTGCCTTCTGTACCTCTCTCCCTCTTCTGCAGCCCGCAGTGCCCTCCTCAGACCCAACAGGGTATGGTTAGAAAACCCCAGAGACCAAGACTCGCTGCTTTTCTCACAGAGCACATGGTTTCTGCAGCACACTGAAATGTTTGCTTTTCATGGCTGACAGGTACCACAGAGAAGGAGACAGAAGCTGAATGACTGCGTGCATTCGCCCTGGAGGACTTGAACAGCGCTCTGGGTCACTTTTTACCTCTTGAACACTGACCAGAAGAGAAGAGAGTAAAATGGTTAAGAATGTATATCAGGGTTTAGGGTCTTTTTTCCCAGTGATGTTGAAACTAAGTATAACAGAAAGGTTTTGGGATTGCTTGAAGATTCAGGCTTGTGTTGAAAGACTATTTCCAGACCTTAGTCTGAGATTTCAAATACTGTCTGTCATCAAAGTGTATTGTGTCCTAGAAGTCGTCTTTTCTATTTCAAAAGGTCCATCCGCTGGTGTGCAGCAGGTCATGTGACATAAGGTGAGTGTGTGGCATATTCCGATCATAGTGCCTTATGTCAGAACACAACAATATGTCATCACAACTGGGGCACACTGGTGGGTGATCTGCTGGACTGTGAATACCTGAACCTCTTACCAAATCAGCTTGTTTTCATTACACTTGTCCAAAAGTTATTTGAATATAAGTCATTACTTTAAACCTCTAATGGCAGTTTTATGTTTAAATGTTTTGTTTGGAACTACGGTGTAAAAACAAGACTGCATCTCAAACTATTTATTTTTACTTTCATGGCAGTTTTGTTCACCTCTTGTGGTGGGTATACACTTTACCATAGCCATTAATAAACTATTGGTTGTCATTTTTAAATAACACATTTCTCATTATTTAAGCTTGGATCTGGAAAGGGTCTGATTTTCAAGGTAGACACTGGGAGGATGTAGAAGTTAGCGTTTCTGAAAGCCGGCACGCAAGTCTACTGACAGGCGGGAAGGAGGGCTGTCAGGGTGTGGGGCAGAGAGGCGTCTATTTTTTGTGTGTGTATTCAAATGTAAAATCATGATGTTTGTATGACTGCTGAAGATTTTTTTTTTTTTTTTTTTTGTAAATTTTACTGTGGCACATACAGTATTGTCATACAGTTGAAGAGAAACAGAAAGTTCCCTAGTTTAAAAGTGCTTCTGAAAATGTTGACACTGTATATATGAATATACTTTGATTATGAGGTTGTTGGTTTCTTTTTTTGCAAATTAAAAAAACTTAAAATAAATCCTACTATCTATCATTTTGTTAAAAAAGTTCTTTAAAATCTCACATATTTCATTGTATATTAATAAAAATGCTACCTGCAAATTATCTACTTAGATATTTCTCTCCATTTAAAGGGGAATATGAATTCTGGGTCATAATTAGGAAGACAACTTCAGTGTTTTGAGTTACGAACATATTTTAAAATTGCCACATAGATATTCTTGTCCTAAGAGTGGGGTCCACAGGTGCTACCTGAGGAGAAGAGTCATGTGGACTGGACAGTGGGAAGGCTCCGGCCCTTGCCTGAGCAGGAAGGCTAGCAGAAGTGCCACAGGGCAGAGGTGGAGAGAAGCACAAAGGGGCAGGTTTGTGCTCCCTTAGCCCAGGAAAATGAAATAAGAAAGTGGTCTTACAAACACACATCACCCAAGGAACCCAACTGGTGGAGCTAGCTGGCGTTGCTCCTTGGCCCAGCCATCTACCACAGGAAACAGCCACAGGCTAAACTTACTCCTGGGCCTTAGATGGGAATACCACCTACCTGTGCTTGGCATGCCCAGCAAAACCTGATGTCATAAACTCACCCACCCCAGCCCAACACTGCAACAACTTCCCCAGTGCTTTGGATACACCCACCCAACTCCACATGCCCACTCAGCAACCTGAGGAACTTGGTTCAGACCAGTAAATCCACGTGTGACACCACCCCTAAAGAAGCACTGCAACCACAACCACACACCAGACCAACACAGAGCTTGAGACACCTTCACAGAATCTGAACGGAGACCAGGACACTATCCTTGGTCTAGACTGGCATCATACCCAGGATGCTGTTAGGAGCAGTGCAGAGCCTTCAGCGTTGCCACTAACCTGAGCAAAACCAATGGGATCACTTCTAGCCCTGTGTGGTGCCTATGGCCCTGCCCTAGGCTTACTGCCCAGCACCTTACTAGCTGGCCCAGTCAGTCTGATGCAGCAGCCATGCCTAACCCAAGCCTAGCACCAACTGACACCAAGCCAGTATCACAAACACACACAGGCACACCTTCCCAACACCAGAAATACCCAGACACAAAAGAGATGAGGTTGAAGTAGATTGAGCAAAGCCAACCCGAGTCTAGGGACGAGTTTGGCTAGAATGGAAGACCCTGTGAACCTCAGAAGAAAGCAAAAAACAAGAGTAATCAAAAGAGAAAGAAGAAGTTAATCTGGCCTTAGAAAGCAAAAACAACTGAATAATTCTTAATTTCCTGTTAGCAATAGGCAATTATAAAGCATAAAGAGACAGAAAAAACAAACACAATTGTAGAAATCAAGGGATCAGATATATTGTCTGAGGAAAAAAAAAAAAAATGGAATTATCCAAGAAAAATTTCAAAGCATTAGTACTAAGAATGACGCAGGAGACAGATAGGGCTGAAAGGACTCAAAGGCCCATTAAAGGAGATTTTACTGTACCCATTTTCCCATGACGGAATATGGAAAGTAGTGGACTGTAAATAATACATAAACCCAGAAAAAGATGCCCAAGGGACAGGAATGATAAAAGCCACATCATGAGTCATGTGAGGGCTGCGCCTGGTTATTATCATCAACACTCTTAAGATATTTCCCAACAGATAATCCGAGCCAACCAGTTTTTGAAGTATGCACAGATAGAGGAACATGTATGCCTAGGGGTATTTTGACCAATGGACCAGAACTCCTGTGCATTCACCAGCCAAGAATGAGTCTTGTGAAATAGACCCAGCAAGCTCTAAGGTGACTGATTCCAACCTGTATTTGCCTGTGCTGTTCTTGCTAGGTGTCATTGAGTCTGTTCCGGCTCACAGTGACCCTGTATGAGGTTTCCAAGGAGCAACTGATGGGTTTGAACCACTGATCTTGTGATTAGCTGTTCACTGTTTCCTACAGTGCCACACCAGGATGCCCACCTAGTATCATGACTCTGCCTAAATGAATCATATCCTGAAAGTCCCCACCCCTTTGATGAATATGCTTTCTACCCTTTTTAATCCCAGATTTGCTCTCATTCAGGGAGACAGAAGCTAGCACTGTCTTCTCTCTCTGTCACGGGCTTTCTACAACCTTGCTTTAATAAAAGTTTTTGCTTCTCCTGGTCATTCTTGGTCGAAGGCAAGGACCAATCTTTTACAGGGTAGGACCAGAAACAGCAGGTGCACACACACTACCCCACCACTACCCATTCCAATGACAAGAATGTTCAAAGAGACAAAGGAAGACATGGAAATATCTAAAAGAAATCAGAAAGATAATATAAGAAAACAAAAATTTCAATGGAAGACTTTTTTTTTTTTTTAATTAGACATACTGGAACTTTAAAGGTACAGAAATGAACTCAATGGAAGGTCACAGAAGTAGAACTAAAATGACAGAAGTCAGAACCAGCAGACTTGAAGGCAGGGTCTTTGGGGTTGTTCAGTCTAAAGCATACAAAAATCTATATGCACTGAGCCTAGGGGCATGCAGAATGCCATTAAGAGGAATCATTCATCCATTATGGGAGTTCCAGAGTAAAAAGAAAACAAACAATGGCAGAAAACTTCACAAACATCACCAAACATGAAAATTTTTCCATCCATTAAGTGCCATAAATCCTATACAGGACTAATTCTAAAAGAAACACACTGAGACTATCATTCTTGAGAAGCAAGGATAAAGAGAAAATTGTGATCATAGTACAAGAAAAGTGAAGTATCACAGACAAGGGGTCCCCAATAACCCAATAAGGTTAAGTGCGACTTCTCTTTAGAAACCATTCAAACAAGATGGCAATGAGATAACATAATTAAAGTGCTGAAAGAAAACAATTGTCAGCCAGGAATTCAGCAAAATTATCAAAAATTATGTAAAAATCAAGACATTCTCAGACAAAAATTAAGAGAATGTGTTACTAACAGACTAGCTCTACAAGAAATACTGAAACACAAAAAAAGTAACACTTTATAGCAATCAGAAATAATAGATATATGGAGGGAGTGGGGAATGGGTACCATTAAACGAAAAGCATTGACAATATAAATATCAATAACACCTTTATAAATGGAGAAAAGATTGAAGTTGTCAAATACTTCAGTATACATGGCTACATTCAGGGGAAACCGCAATAAAAAAATCAATGTATTGCATTAGGCAAATCTGTGCCAAAAAACATATTTGAAGTGTAAAGAGCAAAGATGTCACTTTGAGAGGACTAGTGTGCTTGACCTAAGTCATGATACTTTCAATTGTCTCATATAGGTGTGACAGTTAGACTTCCTATCCATTTGGAAGTTCTGTCATTACATCATTTATTCCTTTTTGCTTTGTAGTTAAACTGTTTACAGATTTGACACCTCTGGTTTGCTACTTTTAGTCTTGTACAAAACTTATTTTTGAGAATTCCTTTTCTGGATTGATTTCTTTGTGATCATCATGTGTCTTCAACTCAGGTTGTTGTCTGACATTGTTGGTTTTCTGTCCAAAGACTCCCCATTATTATTTCTTGTAGGGTTAGTCTGGTTTTTACAAATTCTCTTTATAATTTCTGTGTCTCTGAAAATACCCTAATTTTACCATCATATTTGAGGAACATCTTTGCTGGATATTTAATTATCAGTTGACTTTTCTTTTTCCTTTACAAATTTTACATATATCATCTGTCACCATCTTCCCTGCATGATTTCTGCTGAGAAATCCGAGCTTAGTCTTATTGCTTGCCCTTTGTAAATAACATTTAATTTTTCCTGAGCTGCTCTCAAAATTCTTTATCGTTGGTTTTCGAAAGTTTGATTTGTGATATGTCTTGCTGATTTTCTTTTAGGGTTCATCCTGTATAAGGCGTCCTGGTAGCGTAGTGGTTGCACATTTGGCTGTTAACTGTGAGGTCAGCAGTTTGATTCTACCAGTTGCTCTGAGGGAGAAAGATGAGACTTTCTGTTCCTGTAA